TATATTTTTAGTTGTCCAATTAATTTGTTTCTATTTTTAGTAGAGACGGGTCTCGCTCTTGCTCAGGCTGGTTTCGAACTCCTGAGCTCAAACAATCTGTCCGCCTCGGCCTCCCAGAGAGCTAGGATTACAGGCGTGAGCCGCCGCGCCCCAACATTAGTAATTTTAAAGGCTTTTGTTTTAGTAGAGTTAATATGTGCATTTATAGCTTATGTAAATAAAAGTTTTATAATATAGCTTTGTGTGGTATTTTAAATTGCCTGCAGTTTAAAAATTAAAAATTTAATAATCATAATTATTACTCACTTCTAGGGTTACTTGATTAGCTGTGTTTGGAACTGCTACCGCTACATCAATGGCAGGAACTCTTCTGATGTCCTGGTTTATGTGACCAGCAATGATGCTACGGTAGGTGTGATTATCACTTAAGGTGGAGATCTCCCCACGCCTCTGCTATGCGATGGCTTCTAAATGTTGTAGTGTTCACTCCATCTTTATTGTCATTGAAGCATACTCATGAGCTGCTTAGTCATCAAAGGATTCATAGTTAAATGAGATGTATTTTGTTTTCCTTACAGTATGTTAAAATCTAGGTGATGCTACTCTCGTTTATTCTTAAAAATATTATAGATACCCTACCCTATCTATAATACATAAATGTATTATAGATACATTTATGTATCTTATACATGAATTATTAAACCATGGTATATAATTGTAGATACTGATTCTGCATAGTGCAACTATACTATCTTATTTTACATGTGGAAGTAAACTAAGAAGTGTGATTTTATGGGTTGATAAATAAGAATGGCAGAAGTTACTGTATCTTTATAACTTGCCCCTTGCCTTGCGTATGAAAGCTTTAGTAAGAGAATTTAGATGATCTCTATTCTGCTGCTAGTTGTTCCTAGGTAAAAATTTGTAAACCTATCAGATAAGATTTTGGGAAACGTGTCTTCATTGGAAGAGTCCATGAAAACATTTGTTCTTTATGTAAATTGTCTTGAAACTGCCTGGCTCGAGGTAAGATAAAAGTGTAAGACCTCTAGGTATTTTACAGATGGAAATATTTTATTTTATTTATTTATTTTATTTCAAAATATTAAGGGGCCTCTAGGAATTAAACTTGCTATGTCTCCACCATCTTTGTATTGAGCACAGTGCCTGATGAAATGCTTGGTGCCAGCAAGTGCTTGATGAGCGGTTCGTGGCAAGGATGCGGATGCATGATGTGACTGTGTGGGGTGGGGTCAGAGGAATGGGTCCACATGGATAGGGTTGGACGGTATACAATGGCCTGGATAGCTGACAGGACACACACAAATGGTAGGTCAGATCTAAACTACAACAAGTTTTGTGCTTTGTTTTTAAAATTCTGGTGACTTGCTCACTCTGAGCTTACTGAAATAATTTAACTGTCCCTTACTTTTCTTTCTTGGGTAGAGAATGGGAATAAACCAATTTCATGCTGTATGGTAACATATGGATGTAAGCGAGTATTACTGGGAACTTTGTGGGGTTGTCTAAAGCATGTTACACATAAATATTAGTAGTTTTCCGAAGTGTTCGCCAAACATTCCTTGGGTCGAATCAAATGCATGTGAGCGTGAGCAGTGCTTTAAGAATAGACTCTGCCGTGATCAGAAACACAAAACTCGGCATACCCAGCTGCCGAGGAGGCCCTTTTTGGGGCCTGTAGAATCCTATGCACTGATGACAGTAAACACATGTCTTACTCAACTCCTTAAAAGAATTCCTCTTGGGTCAGTAAGTCTCTTTAAAGAAATAACTGTTCAAAATTACTGTAATTACTGGCTTAAGAATTTTTTTCCTCCTAAGTCATTGGGTATTTAGTTACCTGTAAGTTTCTTTTTTTCTGTCTTTTCTTTTCCCCCCTGGCTTTTCTTTAAAAAAACAACAAAAAAAACTCAGTACAGTTATTGTCCTGCTGAACTAATGAAAAAATTTGTGAACAGAGTTTGAGATTTTTGAGGAACCAATAAAGTTAAACAACATATATTAGAATCTCGTCCTAAATTTCATGGTATATAGAACTTATAAAATTGTTATCTTTTAGAAGTATTTCAGAGAAGATAATGCCCATTTTGCGTGTGCTTGTTTTGATATGCTTTTGGTTATTTTTTCAGTAGAAGTTTTGTGGAAATTAGGTTGTTAGACTTTAAGAACCGTAAGTCCTTAAAATGCATTCTATACTAGCCTTTCAGAGAAACCTTTTAGTTTTCTCCTTTGAAAGAGAAAATATTAAAAGATGTGGAATAATAAATTTTATGTAGGCTTACTTATAAAATTATAAAAATTCGTTGTACTTTTTAACTGGACATTCCCTGCCCTTCTAACAATATGCCTCTTTTTTTTGGAAAAGCTTCCAGCTGGGCAGTAGTTTGTAGTAGCTATTAACAGAATTTGGGGCCATGGACTCTGGCCAACTGTGATTGTTGTGTGTTGACACCAGGTGCTAGGGAATTGTTTGATGGTGGTTATTGGTCATTCTCTGTCATTTTGTATTGTCTTGCCATTTTTAAGATGAGGAGTCTGAGTTGTTTAAGTTACTATTTTCTTCAATTTCCCAGTAAACCATTTTTTTCCCTTTTGTTTTTAAAGAATTATATTCCTGGAAAAGGAGAATTTATCTTTTCTTATAACTCTGTTGTATTGGTAGTCCAGTCTGAAAGATTGGGGATGATCACCACCTAAAAACTCCACTTTCTGACAGTTTTTTAAAAAGATTTTTAAAAAAGATAGTGGTATTGTGGTTACTTTTTTTAAAGAGGACTTAATTAGACCTCCAAAAATAATAATTAACTTAATATCATGAAATATTCAGTAAGTGCTCAGGTTTCCATTTGTCTCGTAAATGTCATAGTTTTCTAGCAGTTTATTTGAAACAGGATCTTGGGTCAATATGTAGTTTAAGTCTCTATACTTTTTTGTTGAAGAAATTAGTTTGTCCCCCACTCTAGATTTCTGATTGCATACCTATAATGTAGTTCTCCGAATTTCCCGTAAATTAGTAGCTGGATTTGGAGGCTTTCCATATTTAGGACTTTTTTTTTTTTTTTTTTTTTTGAGACAGAGTCTCGCTCTGTTGCCCGGGCTAGAGTGCCGTGGCGTCATCCTAGCTCACAGCAACCTCAAACTCCTGGACTCAAGCAATCCTTCTGCCTCAGCCTCCTGAGTAGCTGGGACTACAGGCATGCGCCACCATGCCTGGCTAATTTTTTCTATGTATTTTTAGTTGTCTAATTAATTTCTTTCTAAATTTAGTAGAGATGGGGTCTCGCTCTTGCTCAGGCTGGTTTTGAACTTCTGAGCTCAAACAATCCACCCGCCTTGGTCTCCCAGAGAGCTAGGATTACAGGCGTGAGCCACCACGCCCGGCCTGTTTTTGTTATTTTTTTTTGCAGGACTATTTCATAGGTGATAATTCGTTCTTCCAACAAGAATCAGATAATGTCTGGAGTGACCATCTTTTTGGAATATCGGCAACTATTGATCTTAATGGCTAATTCGTCGATTCATTAGGATTATAATATAGCATTCTGTCATTCCTATTTCATTTATTAGCTAGAATGTTTCTATAAAGAGATACATTCCCTCATGTACTATTTGGCTACCCATTGGTATGACGTGGAAAAATATCCTTGGTTTTGTTCTCTTTATTTATCAGTTTTCTATTTATCAGTTTTCAAAATGAATTGATCCATCATTCTCTATTTATGACCAATAACGTTTTTTTTTTTTTTTTTTTTTGAGACAGAGTCTCACTCTGTTGCCCGGGCTAGAGTGCCATGGCATCATCCTAGCTCACAGCAACCTCAAATTCCTGGGCTCAGGCGATCCTCCTGCCTCAGCCTCCCGAGCAGCTGGGACTACAGGCATGTGCCACCATGCCCAGCTAATTTTTTCTGTATATTTTTAGTTGTCCAATTAATTTGTTTCTATTTTTAGTAGAGACGGGGTCTCGCTCTTGCCCAGGCTGGTTTCGAACTCCTGAGCTCAAACAATCTGCCCGCCTCAGCCTCCCAGAGAGCTAGGATTACAGGCGTGAGCCACCGCGCCAGGCAAAGATTTTTTTTTTAAGTAATAAATGAACTAATGAAGAGTGGGCATGTCTGGTTGAGTAGTACAATCATTTTGCTAAATGTTATAAGTAAGCCTAAATAAAACTTGTTCCATACCTATTTTTAATCTTTCAAAGGGGAAAAATAAGCGCTTTCTTTAAACAGCTAGTACATTATAGTTAATATCATGTAAAGCTCAAATTGTCCCATCTTTGACCAGTTGGATCTTCTTCATGTTGGTTCCTGAGTCTCTTGACATGACCCTGGTAGTCTTTGATCGCCCCTTTGCTGTCTGGAATGACAAGATGTTCTAGGCTCTTCTTGTACATTTCTTGCCCCGCAAAGCAGCCATTTTCTCCAAGGAACCCTGCCTGTGTTTGGTGGGAAATGATGTCTGAAGACCATAATCTGGATTTCCAGGGTAAGAGGACAGGTTGTTTTTTTGGTTTTCTGTCCTTTCCTCCCATCCTCGGTTTTTTTTTTTCTCTTTCTTTCTTTCCTTTCTTCTTTTCTTTCTTCTTTTCTTTCTTTTCATTTCTTTCTTTTTGTGAGACAGAGTCTCACTCTGTCACCCAGGCTAGAGTGCAGTGGTGTCATCATAGCTCACTGTAGCCTTAAACTCCTGGGGTCCAGTGATCCTCCTGCATAAGCCTCCCAAGTACCTGGGGCTACAGGCGTGCACCAACATGCCTGGCTGATTTTTTTTTTTCCTGTTTTTTGGTAAAGACAGGGTCCTGCTCTTGCTCAGGCTGGTCTCAGAACTTCTGGCCTCCCAGAGTGCTAGGATTACAGGCAAGAGCCACCATGCCAGGCTGTTTTTGTTTTGTTTTGTTTTTGTTTTTGTTTTTGTTTTGTTTAAAGATTGTTTTGACTAAGAACTAAAGGAGTTAAAGTTAACATTCTAACTTAAGAAAACTAAATTTACTGAAGCCTACCTCTGAGACCCCTAAATGGGGGTTGGAATGATCTAGTTCTGTCATTTTCCCTGGTCTCTATAGCTACATTAAGAACCTCACCTCATGTAGATGTATATTTCTCTTTTGTTCATATTTTTATTGTGAATCCACATTTACATAACATGTTGTGCCTGACTTTCACTTCCTATCAAACATTAGGCCAGATGGCTTTTCTCCCAGGCTGAATAGTTTCTGGTTGACCTCTGTGGCAAGATACTGGGGCTCTTGTTGGTAAAAAAATAAATATGCTTTTTCCCCTTCTCTAAGACAGCACCCATATTACCTATCCAGATAAGTACTTTCCCAAATTCTGCTCAGAGAAAGGATAGAAGAGAGTTATTAGATATTGGTGATCATTCCCTGGCTT